TCCATTCATGCAGATGTTCTTTGATTTGTTTCTTCAGAGTTTTACTATCTTTCTCGTGTAGATCTTACACATACTGACTGTAACTGGTATATTTCTGCCCATTTTTTTTTAAGTTCTAAGTCTGAGTCACTTTAAGTGTTTTCCTAGTGCAAAGTACATTGTTTTTGACATTAAATCAGAAAATCTAAATTAGTTTTTCAACTTAACACCTACTAAGACAGATACCTTTGGGGTTGCTTTGGTGTCTTACTTTTTTTTTTTTAGTTGTAGTTGGACACAGTATCTTTATTTCATTTATTTATTTTTATGTGGTGCTGAGGATCAAACCCAGTGCCTCACACATGCAAGGCAAGTGCGCTACCACTGAGCCCCAACCCCAGCCCCTCTTTGCAGTTTTAATACGTTCAAAATATGTTAATCGATTTCAGAAATGAACTTGTATTTACTGATTCACACCTATGAAATAAGCAAGAATGGGCTACAGTGGACAGTGGTCATACACTTTGTCCCCAGGACCTGGACCTCTTCTCTGGCTGGAGGGACTATCTTCTCCATGTGCTCAGTGTAGGGAAAAAGTTGATATCTCAAAACAGGATCTGAGAATGTTGATTCTCACTTTCCAAGAATCCCTTGCAGCTTGGGCACCAGCATGTGACCTTGATCCTGTCTGTCAGACCTACATGCCAGACTTCAACTAACGATCCAAGAGGGAGGAGTCCGAGCCCTGTTCTGGCGAAGTGTCAGTGGCCCTGGCTGGATGGCTAATCCCTGGCTCAGAGCGGCAACCCCACGAGCTGGAGCATGTGAGCTGGATGGTGATCATCCCTCTGCACTGCTGTGAGGACTAGTCCCGGAAACTGAATTTTATGCTGAAGTTCTCTAGTCTGTCCTGACTACCCCACCTGATCCTGTTTCCATGATGTTGATTTGGGACCTGAATCAAAAGTGAGCTGTTCTAAGTAGATCAAGCGAATCCTTCTTTGACCAAAAACTCCTGAGACCCAGATAGTGTGTGGGTTTGGTGATGAGCAAGTCTTTCAGCCCTTTGGGGGAGGAACTGGTGACTGGGAGTTTCCCCAGAGGTTATCCTGTAGTCTTAATGCATATTTTCGTGTGTAAATTAACAGTTTTGCACATTTACATCTCTTTTCATAAAGTTCTACAGCATAAAACAGAAAAGCAGCATAGCCAAGCATGGTAGCCCACGCCTGTAATCCCAGTGGCTCAGAAGGCTGAGGCAGGAGGATCATGAGTTCAAAGCCAGCCTCAGCAACTTAACAAGGCCCTAAGCAATTCAGGGAGACCCTGTCCCTAAATAAAATATAAAAAAGGACAGTTCTCCATGTGTGTATTCTTGTTCAAGAAATTTTTCAGTCCCTAGGAATTTATCCTACAGAAATAATCAAACATGTAAATTTTATTGGCCAGTGGGTTCACTGAGTGTCTTTTTAAACAGAATACCCCAAAGTGGAAGCAAGTGAAATGTCTGAGAACAGGAGAGCACTTCAATAAATCACAGTACTCCAGATGACGTAGAAAACAGATACTAAATAGGACATTTTAGGAGAGTATTTACAGACCTGGATATATAATCACAAAACGTTGTTCAGTGATAAATCAGGATGAGAAAAGCAAAAGAGGTACACTATAACCTCAATTTTATAATATGTAAGACATATTCAGTTGAAAAAACACCAGCCTGTGGTGGTCACAGATCACTCAGTTTTCTTCTTTCTATTGGTCTGCATTTCCCCAAAATTTTCCAAAATAAGCAAGTACCATTTTTTATGAACAGAGAAACAGAGTATCATTTTCAAAACAAGAATTAAGACCCCCAAATAAGATGGGTTTGGTAGTGCATGCCTGTAATCCCAGAGGCTCAGGAACCTAAGGCAGGAGGATTGTGAATTCAAAGCCAGACTCAGCAACTCAGCAAATCCCTAACTTAAACAACCTCTCCCCAAAAAAAAAAAAAAAAATATATATATATATATATATATATATATATATATATATCCTCTGTCCCTATGAATTTGAGCACTCAAGGGACCTCCCACAATTGGAATCATACAGCACTTGTCCTTTTGTTATGGCTCATTTCACTTAGCACACTGTCCTCGAGGTTCACCTGTGCTGTGGCCCATGTCAGCATTTCATTCCTTTTCAAGGGTGAGTACTATTCCCATTGTCTGGGTATGCACTTCCTGTATGCATTCCTCTGATGACGGACACCTTGGCCCATCTGAGCCTTGGCTGTTGGACTGGTCCGCAGTATGCAGATGGGCAGGGGTCTCTTCAGCACACTGAGCTCATTTCTTTTGAGTACATCTCCACAGATCATTCTCTGAGAATATGAGAAAGTCGGTATCTTTATTTGGGAGCTTTTTT